TGCCAGCCCGAGGGTGTTCCAGGGAGCCAAGGGAGATCTGGGAGCAAAGGAGAGGTGGGATCCACTCTGAGTATAAAGACCCCACTGAGTGCATGGGGGGGGGCAGGAGGCTAGAGAGGAGGTGGGGTGAGACTTCAGGTGGGAGAGGACAGGTCTGAGCAGAGCTGGGGTCGTGAGCAGGGAGAGGAGGGGACGGGGTGGAGAGGCAGGGCTGGGGACCAGCAGGCTGTGCGCAGGACCCTCAGTTACCCAGCTGCTGCGTCTGCACACCGCAAAGGAAACACGCCAGCCTCCCTGCCACGGCGCCTGTGCCGACACACTGTGACCGCGACACACAGTAGGTGAGAGGTTGGAGACGGAGGCGCAGAAGGAGACCAGGCTCAGTCAGTCAGGGATGAGAAGTATAGTGAGGCTTTATTAAGGCAAGGAGTTAGGTCAGGGAAGTCACATCTTGTCGGTGAGGCGGAGCAAGATACATAGGGCTCGAGCTAAGGAAGTAGACGTTGACGGAAGGAAGGGGGATGTTTTATTGCTTGCAGCTGCAGGGCCTTGAGTCAGGATGGGACCCAGTCATCCTTTTGTTTGCAAACCTGCTCTCTGGGAAAGGGGCTATACAGACCGGCCTGGAGAGATCAATTGCTTCCTGGGGTGCTGGGGAAGGGGCCACACAAACCCGGCCTGGAGAGACAAGCTCTTTGGAGTGTTGGGACAGGAGTTGCATAGTTCAATAGGTCATCCATCCTCCTGAGAGGCTGGGAACGGGGGCTGTGAGGTTTCATCTTCCTGAGGAGCCGCAGAGGAGACGGGAGCGACCTGGCCCAAACATTAGACATTTACCAGTGGTTAGCAGGAGTCTTGGTGGTGCCATGGGATAGGCGTTGGGTGCTAACCACAAGGGCAGGGATTCAAACCCACCAGCCAGTTCACAGGAGAGAGGGGGACAGGAGGTTGCCCATTCTCTTCATGGGTTACAATCTTGGAAGCCCAAGCCAGGGTGGCAATGCGTCGGAAGCAACTTTGATGGCAGTAGGGTTTGGGTTTGGCTCGGTGAAGGGTGTTTGATGCTCTTGCTCAGGGGACCTAGAGACACCGAGGGCCGCCCCCCCTCCCACACACACACACACCCACACTGTCCCCTTTGCTGTGTCTCCACACCCAGAGCCTTCCAGAAGCGGCAGCAGCAGCAGAGCGCCCTGAAGGTGATGCAGCGCAACTGCGCGGCCTACCTGAAGCTGCGGCACTGGCAGTGGTGGAGGCTCTTCATCAAGGTAGGGCAGCCAGGGGAGGAACAGAGCCCGACCAACCCCACCGTGGCTGGGCACCCGCATCCTGCATCTGTGAAACGGCACCAGCCTTTGTTAGCTGTGGGGTTCCAGCCCCCACAATCAAGTGGGTCCAAGGGGCGGTTGTGTCATTGAGGGGTAAAATGAGAGAAACATCAGATAAGTCATGCAAGGGCTCACCTCTGGGACCTCCATGACTGCAGGAGCCAGGTCCACAGAGAGAGAGAACAGATTTCCAACCAAGGCTTATATACATTGAGGGGGTGTGCAATCCCCCCTAATTACATCAAAGCAGGAAGGGGTTGTACCATAGGCATGCATGCGACAGGAGGGGGATGAGCTAGGGGGATACATGCAATAGGAAGGGGAGGCACTGGGGGTGCACATGTGACAAGATGGGCAGACTGTACAGTCAAGATGGCAGCCTAACCCTGTTCCTCCCTGAGTTGGCTTGACCTTGGCTTTGGGCTCTCCTTCAGGGGAACAATCCATTATCCTTATCAGAAGGGAGTGGGTCCTACTTAGGGTGGGACAGACTATAGCAGCAGTTCTCAACCTGTGGGTCTCGACCCCTTTGGGGGTCGAACGACTCTTTCACAGGGGTCGCCCAATTCATAACAGTAGCAAAATGACAGT